TGGGCCTCGGACCCGTCATTGCCCTCCCTGGGCCTCAGTGTCCTGGTTTTAAGTGGACGGATAACGCCCTCCGGAAGGCCTGGCCCCGCAGGGCCTGCCTCGGTGCTGCGCGAACGAGGGCTCCTACGCCGCCCTGCATTAATGCCCGCGTTCCGGACGCCTGCCCGTCACCGGCGGGGCCCGGAGGTGCAGTTGGGCCCTTGCTCCCCCACCAGAATTCACATTTCGGCCCAGTCGCTCACTACAGGTGTGACCTTGGGTAAGTCTCTTCTATGTGAGCTTCGTTTTCCTGGAAGTCAGGGAGAGGAGCGGTAACGTGACCCCAGCATTAGGTAGCGCTCCTTCCACCGCAGGCATTTAATTGTCAGCAGCACTGTGGGCCGGGAACGGTTGTTATCCATTGTAAACATGAAGCGACGAAGGCCCAGGGACACTAAGCCTTGCCCAAGGCCACACAGTGTTTAGTGCGGTGCCTGGCACCCGCGAGGGCCCAGCGAGCTGCAGATCTGTTATGAGCCCTAATTCGGTTCCTCACACCAGGGTAGAGCCAGGGGAGGAGCTGGAGGAGGAGGACTCTCCAGGCGGCCGTGAGGATGGCTTCACTGCTGAGCACCTGGCTGCCGAGGCCATGGCGGCTGACATGGACCCCTGGTTGGTGTTTGATGCCCGTACCACACCTGCCTCCGAGCTGGATGCCTGGTTAGCCAAGTACCCACCGTCCCAAGTTACCCGCTATGGGGACCCCAGCTCACCCAACTCTGAGCCCGTGGGCTGGATTGCAGCGTATGGGCAGGGCTACATCCCCAACTCCGGCGACGTGCAGGGCCTGCAAGCAGCCTGGGAGGCTCTGCAGACCGGTGGGCGGCCCATCACCCCGGGTACCCTTCGCCAGCTGGCCATCACCCACCACGTGCTCTCGGGCAAGTGGCTGATGCACCTGACACCTGGCTTCAAGCTGGACCACGCCTGGGCTGGCATTGCTCGGGCCGTGGTCGAGGGCCGGCTTCAGGTGGCCAAAGTGAGCCCACGGGCCAAGGAGGGTGGGCGCCAGGTCATCTGTGTTTACACGGACGACTTCACGGACCGCTTGGGTGTGCTGGAGGCAGATGCAGCTATCCGTGCGGCGGGCGTTAAGTGCCTGCTCACCTACAAGCCTGACGTCTACACCTATCTGGGCATCTACCGGGCCAACCGTTGGCACCTCTGCCCCACTCTGTATGAGAGCCGTTTCCAACTGGGGGGCAGTGCGCGTGGCTCCCGTGTGCTGGACCGCGCCAATAACGTGGAACTGACTTAGTGGGGCCACCTGTGGAAGACCACCCTCTGCGCCCCCTGCTAGGGATGGGTCCTCCTGTCTTCCTCCTTCCTGTCCCAAGGGGGCCAAGTCCCCCAGCTCTGAGGACTAGGTCACGCTGGAACTGCCTGCATCTTCAATCCCTTTGAACTTCCGCCCTCTGTTCAGGGCTGACTTAAGTCCCCATCAGCTGGAGGCTCTGGCTCTCTGAGGGCCGGACCCTCAGACTCTGCTGCTGCTGCCCCTCTGCCATCCAGGACCACAGTCTGGGGCCAGACCCCCAGGAGGAGAACCCTCCTTGGCCATCCTCATCCTTGGTTTTACCTTCCCTTCCTGCATCCCTCCCCGTCTTATCTTCTCCCTCACGAGAGAGAAAACTTAGTGCTTCCAGTCCCTCCTTGGAGCAGAGGCCCTGCAGGTCCGAGCATGCCGTTTTTTGGAGGGGGGGGGTGATTGTACCCACTCAGCCCCTGGCAAAGAAAGGGGATGCCAGGGCCATGGACATGGGGTCTATCTACCCTCCCTGTCGCTTCACAGTCTGCACCACCTCCCCCCCTTCCTTCACTACCTTGTCATGTGCCTGCTCTTGGCATCTCAATAAAACCCAGCTTGGGTCTGTGTCTTGAGTGTTTTTTAAAATATCGTTAGTGGTTACCTGCTGTGGTTGCTGGACCAGGCAGGGCCAGGAAAGACTGGCCCTCTGCCCTGACTAGGCCCTCCTAACTGCCCCCAGTAATAAGATACCCCTGGCTGCCAAGGCTGGGAACCCC